GGGCACGGGATCGATCACGGGATCGATACGGGAACCGAAAACGGGCAAGCAGTTTGTCCCTGATGTCCGGTGGACACATTCCCTGCACAGCCTGAGGCCGTTTCCTCTCGTGCTCCCTGCGGGAACAGAGCCATCCCCCGCTCCATCCCGGGCCGTGAGCTCCGGGCCAGCGGCCCCGGGACACCGCGGAGCTCCCGGCGCAGCGGGGCTGTGCCAGCGCCCGCAGGTGCTCCTGCCAGGCGTGGGACAGGCGGAGAGCACGAAGGGGCTTGTAATGGGCAGGAGCGGCGGGTAATGAGGGGCTGGCAGGGGAAGGTGAGCGCTCCGCAATTGGGGCAGGGAAAGGAGGCTGCCGGGGAGGAGGGAAGGGAGGAACGATGTGGTCTAAGCCACTGACCAGCAGAACAATTTCTGCAGCAGCCCTCTGGATACAAACCAGGAGATCAAGGAACACTGTGCAAGGCGTGGACATTGTTGGGCAGTAGGAATCCACGAAAAGATGATGATGAGCCCTCAAATCATGAAGAGACAGGCTGGACGACGCCAGCTTTACCTCCAAACCAATTTCCTGACAATCATCCCTGGCACCCCCGCTTGTCTCCAGGGCCTCTGTGGGTCCACGTCTCCTCAGCGTCTCCCTGGAACGGGCCTTGTTGGCACCTCTATCTTTGGGTGTTCCTTATGCCAAATGGAGAGAAAGAAATTTCCAAAACTGAGAAGGGTCCAGATTGTCCAGGAAAAAAATTATCCCAGCTATGTCGTGTCTCTAGGGCTGCGTTTGTACACTCAGCAAGTTGTGAAATGCAGCTCTTTGGGCTGGTTCACTGGCTGGCAGGAATTAGAGCGCTCACTGACTGCAGGGCTGGCAATTAGCTGCTGTGCAAGTGTTTTTGTAGAGTCAAATTTCCAGCACGAGGGGAAGAGAAAAGCGTCTGTAAAGCAAGCCGCCCTCGGCGCGGGAGCCGGGCGGGCAGGGGGAGCTGCAGCTCCTGCACTCCTGAAAAGCAAGAAAAGGATTGTTCTCAAACAAACACCGCTGTGAGGGGAACACCCCAAATCCTTCCCCCCGCAGTGCGGGGAGCTCTCCTGCCCCGGGAGCTACGCAGTGCTGCTTTCAGCTGGAAGAGCAGCATTTTACACCCAGCCTGTCTTTTGCCACCGACAGAGGGGCCGAGCAGCTGGAAAAGCTGCAATGGGACTGGAAAGCCCCCGCCTCAGCAGCACCTGCACTTTTCCCTTTTCCCAGGGCCTGGGGAAGGGTGGTTCCCTTCCTTATGTGGCCCCACGAGGAGCCATGAGAGCAAACAGAGGTGGTAGAGCCGGGAGAGGGGAAGGGCAGGAGGGGAGAGGAGGGTGGGTGACCTCAGGGAGCCCCCGGCTGTGAGGAGCCTCAGCTGAGCTCGGCTGCGCTCTCAGGCTGCCCTCGGGCCGTGGGGCTCCTGCCCCAGGGCTCCTTTCCCTGCCTGCTCGCCCCTGGCCGTGGGAAGGGGCTCGGCGTGTGCTGCAGGGAGGAGAGCACGGCCCGCAGGGGGCACAGGGCGTGCCAGAGCTGCAGCCGTGAAAATCAACATCCATTCGTTCCACTGCGCGCAGGAGAACTTGCTGAAGGAGCCTGGGCTCCAAGCTCAGCCCGCCCCTCTCAGCTGCGTCTGGGGGACCCTTTGATTTGGTTAATTAGACACAACGTTTTTCTGGGCAGGGGGAGGCCGGCTGTGTGCCGGGGAGCGCAGCTAGCCCGGCTTTACTGATGCCTGCGAGGCTGCGAGCGCAGCTCCGCCCGCAGCGGCGGTGCCACCGCCTCCTCCCTCGGGGGCTTCTGCACGAGGGCCTCGTTTACACCTAAATACCCTCGCAACAATTTTCAGTACTGGCCAAACTTCCTAATTCCGCTATTTTTCACCCTAAATTTGACCTTTGAATTCAATGGAGCGGCTTCATTTTGCCTTTCTCTTGTCCCCTGCCTCAGATCTCTCTTTACACAGTTCAACTGCTAGGGCTTGCCTACGCTTGAAAGTTGCCTCTGGATTTAGGGACATATAAATCTGAAAGTAACCAAGTCTTGAATGCTTCTGGAAGGAATTACTCAAAATCAGTAATTTCTGAATAACTTGCTGCCCTGGCTCCCAGTTCATCCTCCTGTTAGCAGCAGGAGCAGGTAAGGCAAGGTTTGTAAAAGGCACGTCTGTGTTTTTTTCAAGTGTTTCTCTCCGTTGCTCTAAAAGGAACTTACAACCTCCCCCTCCAGAGCCTGCCTCACTTAAATCCTCACTCTGTCACAGCTGAAATGTGACTACAAAGAGATCTAGGAATTCCCCAAGCCTTCGGCTCTCCGGGGGTTGTTTCACAGGTAAGGAATGCAGCGCCGGCCTGCCGCCCGTCTGCCCCGCAGCGGGCACGGCGCGGGCTGGCTGTGCCCGGCTGCACTGGCGGCGTGTGCCCCGGGCACGGGGACACCCCCAGGTGTCCCCCCGGTGTCCCGTTGCTGCGGGACATCCCGCCGGGGCCTGCCGCCGCCGGGGCCGCCGAGCCGCAGGCTGGCGCTTGCAGAGCCGCGGCCGGTGCGTGCAGGGGCAGATCCGGGCGCTCCGCTCCTGAGCCGCAGTTATTTGGGTTAGCAGCAAATTGCACGGGATGATTGCCGCGATCCGGGCAAACCATTCAAAGCAGAAGAAAGCGTCTGATGAAGTCGCCAATAT